TACGTGGATGTTGTTTTACTCCATTTTACTCAGTATATGAGATTTTCTGCCACATGGAGCAATGTGATCAGGAGGAGCTGTTTTTCCTCCTTCAGTCCTTAAGTGCATTTAAATATGGCCGTTCTGAGTATATATATGATACTTCAACGTCAAGGCTGAGTTTCTCTAAACACAAAAGCCTGCTACGGTGTGGAACCGATCATGGTGCGGCGTTCTACACCTATATTGTGTTATTACCCAGTTATACGCTGAGGTCAGTTGACAAGCTCATACTACTCTGCATTCACACTGGCTTTGAAAATGTCTTGGCAACACAAAACCGTACTGTTTCCAGGTGTTATTTTTTCTCTCAACGGCTCTCAGATGTACCCAACAAAGATATGCTTGCATCAGTTGATCGTACTCCGTCGTCAAAATGGCCCAAAGTAGCAAGATTATGCGTTACTGCTTTGTCTTAACTGATATCAGATTTAGTAGAGTTTGCCTTGTCTTGGATCAATTATGCTTCCACCATGACCGATTATTCTACGGCTTAGCCGAACCCCAAAGAACAAATTGTGTGATTGGTTGCCCACTTAGAGAGAATACAGAGGTGGCACTCTGGTAATCTATCTTGTGCCATTTGGCTCTCCTTTTATCTTGTTCATATAAAATGTGTAGGTGCTGCAGGACCCCTAGTGCTAATATGGCAAGCAAGAACCCGTGTCAAAGCAGGAGCCCATGTCAAGTAGTGGTCGGTGTAAACCCATATGAGATTGTTTGCCACTTGGAGCAATGTGATCAGGAGGACCAGGTTAATTTTTCTCCTTCAGTCCTTTTTAAGTGCATTTAAATCTGGCCGTTCTGAGTATACTTATGCTACTTCAACATCAAAGCTGAGTTTCTCTAAACACTAAAGCCTGCTACGGTATGGAACCGATAATGGTGTGGTTTCCTATGTACGCCTACATTGTGCTTTTACCCAGTTATACGCTGAGGTTAGTTGACAGCCTCATATTCTACATTCACACTACACTGGTTCTGAAAATGTCTTGCCGCCATAGCAAAACCATACCGGCCAAGTGTTCCTTCTTTTTTCATCATATATGTGTGGTACAATATCAACTGATGCAAGCATATCTTTGTTGGGTAATTTGAGAGGCTCAAGGGCGTCAAAATGACCCAAAATAACAATTCAGATGAGCCGAGAAGGCTGAACGGTGGCAAGATTATGCGTTACTGCTTTGTCTTAACTGATATAAGATCCAGTAGAGCTTGCCTCGTCGTGGATCAATTATGCTTCCTCCATGACCGATTATCCTACTGCTTGGCTGGACCCCAAAGAACAAATTATGTGATTGGTTGGTTGCCACTTGGAGAGAAGACAAAGGTGGCACTCTGGTAATCTGTCTTCCGCAAATCTTGTGCCATTTGGCTCTCCTGTCCTCTGTCATATAAAATGTGCAGGTACTGCAGGACCCCTAATGCTAATGCTAACTTTGTAAGCCAAACAGTCCGTGTAAACCATTGGCTAACAGTGGTGCGCCATTTGTCTTCTTCACGGGTAGGTTGAACAGTGCTCCATGACACGCCTTCCTTTGTACCTAGTCACTGTCATTTACTCGTTAAAACATCAGCTCACGTATCTTGGGTCACAGAGCACGAAAAGACATTCTGATGTGACACAATGATATATTTCCTGATCTCTATTTCCTGGCCAAAACTCATGGAACTCCCAGTGCAGTTGCAAGCCTGACCTTGTCAACCATATCACTACCAGTACCAGGTAGACCTTGCTTCAAAAAAAGTACCAGGTAGACCTGACCTTGGTTCACAGAGCTTGAAAAGGCATTCTGATGAAAAGAAATTCCCAAGTGCAGTTGCAAGCTTGACCTTGTCAACCATATCACTGCTAGGTAGACCTGACCAGGAGTGCAGGACAAAAAAGATGGCCAGCTAGAAAGGTCGAGAAGCTCAGTCCGCAGCTGGGGCCAAACCGCTAGACGTCCACAAGTTGCATGTCCTAATTGCGACGAGGACATCAAGAGTACTGGTATATGCCACCAAAATACTCCTTAGAACATCAGAGGATGATCTTCAATTTTGAATTGGTGTGAGGGAGGCGCATCGGAGGCACCGTCGTCGTCATGCATGACAAAACGCGGACGGGTGGGAACAAAAGCAAATTGACAGCCGGGTTTAATTTTAACCCCCGCTCTGGTCGATTAAGAAACCGGTTAGGGGTCAAGAATTTCAACCCCTAGGGCTGTTGTTTTGTTCTGCTTACGTCGTCGCTCTTGGACACAGGCGTTAACTCCATGGCTGCAGCTCAGCATGCCTTGGGAACTGTGAAATTTTTGAAGACCTGGAAATCATGTAAATAAAAAGCACATGCCTTGACTACTGACTTGGTCGTGTGTTATTATGCAAGTTAACTAGATTCCTTTTACGAACACCGCGTACAGAATAGACATACAGCGACATCACCACACGCACATACTCGCACACCCTCAATTGATGACCTATCTAAGGACATATACTTCTTTTTGGAGTCGGATGGAGTATCCAGTTTCAAAATACTCCCTTTGTAAATAATTACTAAAATTAGTGATCTAAACCGTCTTAATTGTTTACAGAGTGAGTAACATGCTAGTCTTAGAAAATGTGACAGTTGTGTAATTTTGTCTGTTAAGGTATTTTAAAATTACTCACAGTAAGATGGAAACAACATTCAGATTTAACACAAAACATATTGTGCATATGAAAAGTAAGAGCAAAAGATGTATATTCGAGGCCATCACTGTCCAAATCATGTATTTCGAACCAAGACAGTACTACTACTGAGCAAGAAGCACTTTGCGGCGTCCGGGCTATGTCAGTTGGACTGTGCTCAGGACAGTTACAAATTTTTACAGCATCTCTTTTTCAGATACCATCACTTGTGGCCTTGCTATGTGAGTGTCCTAGTGGGACTGCAAAACATCAACTTCACTACACACTTTCTGGTAGTACAAAGTGAGATCATCAACTCCCACTTTTTAACCTTTCCATTGACGTTGCAATCCAAGTAGTGTGCACTGCTAAGCAAGCTAGTTAACAATAAGAAGAGCCAAGTTGGCTCAATCAAAGAACACACTACCAAACTACCTAGTTGCTCAATTGAGGTCTCATATTGCACCGCATTTATATAATATGGGCCATGCACACATCATCGCCAAAATGCCCTGGATTTTGCACACTGAGACATGAGCTAATCGCCAAAAGGTAATATCTGGATGTCGCCGAACTGGTCAAAGAGCAGTGTACCTGTCCTGCATTATTTCCCTTTCATTGCTATGGTGAAAGTGACAAACATCAAATTCTTGCGCGACAATGATCTACGTTGCAAACCCGGGATGATAAAATACATTGGTGTAATTAATGTTTTTAGAGATTAACAAAAGATCAATGATTTGTACAACATACCATAATATAACTGCCTTTTTGTAAGATTTGTATTTGAAGTATTGTATCCTGAAAACCCAACCCTTGAATGGGTCTCGAGCCAGCGATCATGTTATAATGCATCTTGGCAGCAATTATATGTACTATGAATATGATACATCTCACAGGGTGTATTCTAGAGAGAGAAATGGTGATTTCACACCATTCATATCAAGTGTTTTTACGATCACGATCCTAGAATAATATCAATAGCAATCCGACCATGTCAAAATGCTCGATTATGGACGACTTTCAATTCTGATCGCACGAGGAATGATTGATCTAGCCACGTCATGGTGAGACAGGAGGGAACTAAATAAGATATGAAGCATAGTTAAGGGGAAGCACCATACCACCAGAATTCACGTGTTGGAATGAAATGTGGGGAAGGGGTCATCGCTATCGGATGGCTTCGCCTCTACCTCGGCTAAGTAGCATGGAGGGAACATGCATGGCAAGGTGGTGTTAATGAGCGACACGAGGAGGATGTGGTAGGACGGGTAGTACGAAGATAGCCTACGCTGGCATTTTGACCCTGTAGGTCACCCCTCCCTCGTCGTACTAGACCGGCCTGAATCATTTTCTTAGGCCGAGTGGCAACAACCTGAAAATGCCGACCAATCCCATCTGACCGGAGGGACAAGAAATATAATTATATTAATTCGGTACTACGAAATGATTTTTAGTAAAAAAAACATTGCTTCTATTTTTTAAACACCATATGTTTTTTTGAAGAATTTTAGGCTTTTGGGCGGTGTAAAAATTGGAGCTCAACGGGCGGGCTTTGGGCCAACCCGCTGAGCCGAGCTGCCCATGCTTAGGTCTACCCTATACAAACTTTGAGCCTTAGTATAGTGGTTTAATCATCTTTTTTTCTTGCATATATAAATCATTCCACACAGAAGTTTAGCCCGATGAGGAATCAAAGAGGTCTTGAACTCGAAATTTCTTGGCTCTCATACCATATTTAGTATCCATGCAGCAATACACTCCTACAAAAAAGGCCAGCAAGATATACACTCATACTTTGAAGTCCAAGAGGACTAGGTGTACCTAGCTAGTTTTACACCAACTAAATCATATATGTATAGTCATATGATCCTGTCAATGACTAGGCCAACACGACCACACCCTCATCCTTAGCTAAGCAGATTCAAAAGACAGCTTTTCACAGCATGAAGACATGAATTAACTAGAGATACAATCTCTCTCGGTAGATTTCCTTGTCCCCCCATATGTTAAGCAGAAGAATTAAACAATGCAATGCAATTTTTGTACTCCCAATCAATGACACTAACTCATCACCATTAACAATATAAATGCAACAGATTGCATACAAATACTTATAGTAAACTTATACTCCTATGAATTTATAAGAATGCACAAATGAGCTAGACTAGTACTAGCACACACACAAGCAACAAAAGGCATCTTCCTCATCCTCGCTTGTCTCCACTCCTTCCTCTCCTCCCTATATATACTCCTTACCTGATCATCTCTTTTCAGCCTCAGTCCATACTCCACGCCGAGCCGGATCGATGGTTCCATCAATGGCGAGGAAGCGCAAGGCATCCGACTCCGACGACGTCTCTGACACTGACATCGACGCCGGCATACCTCTATCACTAGCTTCGACGGACGCGTGGACGACGTCCACGGTTGCGGCTGCGACGGCGGCGAGGCAGCAGCAGCGGGGTAGGAAGCGGTTCGTGGGCGTGCGGCAGCGGCCGTCCGGCCGGTGGGTGGCGGAGATCAAGGACACGATCCAGAAGATCCGCGTGTGGCTCGGCACCTTCGACACCGCCGAGGAGGCCGCCCGCGCCTACGACGAGGCTGCCTGCCTCCTCCGTGGCGCCAACACCCGCACCAACTTCTGGCCCCGCCCCTCGCCGCCCGCCGCCTTGCAGCCGCCGCCGCCGGCTATGTTGTCGATGCAGGCGCCGGCGTTGCCTTCCAAGGTCTCCAACCTCCTCCTCCTCCGCCTCAAGGCCCGCAACCAGCAGCTCCTCCTCAACGACGCCACGGCGCCGCAAGAGGCTGCACTGCTGCAGCAGCAGATGCAGAAGCAGATGTCCTCGTCGACGTCGTCGTGCCAAGAATCATACATCCATGGCCGTGACGACGAGTACTGCTTCCAGGTAGACGACTTTCTGAGCGAGGAGTGCAACAACTCGCCAGAAATGGAGGAGGAAGAAGAAGAGGTGGAGGAAGAAGAAGAGGCGGAAGAGGAGGAGGAGCTGGACTTCCAGTTCATGGATAAGTCGACGGTGGCGGGAGATGAGGACGCCGGGCTCTGCTCCCCGTTCGAGATGGTCGCCGCAGAGCTCGGCGGCTCGGCGCCGGTGGAGGCTAACGACGTGGACGGCGAGCCTGCGACGGCGGTGCAGGAGGCGATGAGGAGGATGGACTACGAGAGGAAGGTGTCCGCATCGTTCTACGCGCTCAGCGGTGTGTCTGAGTGCCTTAGGATGCGCCTCGGCGGCGCCTCCGCCGCGCACGACCAGCTCTCCGGCCTGCGCAAGGCGTGCCGCAAGAAGCAGAGGGTGGCGATGCAGCAGCCAGCATCGGAGCAATCCTCGGGATCAGCAGCTGCTGCTGCTGCTGATCATGGCACGGAGGAGGATGGTAAAGCTTACGTGCAAGAGGAGTGTTCAGGCAGCAGCAGCGGCAGCAGCAGCCTCACAGAGGCGGCGAGCTCGTCGTCACCGGAGGCGGCGAACGTCAGCAGCGACGGCGACGTGCTGCTGTGGAGCTCCCTGGATCTGGCGCCCATCTGCTACATGGCATAGGCTGACCAGTTTTGTTGTTGTGTTCCATGGTTGCAACTTGCAGTTAGGTTGTGTTGGTGTGGAATTCGTTTTGCTCCATGCATGGCAGATGGCTCATATGAGAAGCCCTGGCCATCACTTGCTTAATTACCAATTTATTTTGAGAAACAGTGGTAATAACAACAGAAACGAACTTGCATGCACCTCGGCTGGTAGTGCTTCAAAGTAGAACTCATCTACACATGAAACTAGTACGTATGAGATTCAGATAACAGAGCCTTCGTCGCCGTTGCATCCAGCCGCCACCGCCGACGTTTAGCCGGAGTTGAGAGGGTGGGGTCCTAACCCCTTTCGTCATACTACATGGTACGAGTACCAATTTTCCATCAGTTTTCCCATGGATACCACTCTTCAACCTCAAGGCCACCAACAGGCGTCAGAAAGAATGCACAGATGAGGCTTACAAGAATCTTTCCACACTAATTTTTTTTCATGAAGATAACTTTAGAAACGTGTTCATGCATGGAGTTGAATTTCTCAAGTTCAGATATTGGGGCCAAAATGTGCAGTACTAGTATAGTGCCAAAGAAACAGTCAAGAGTTTATCATATCATTCTTTTCTTCTTCTCTATACAACAGTGTGTGTGATACACAAAACTAACACTGATAATCTGGAAAAGCTCAAGCTAGAACTTTGCAGATGCACTCAAACCTCTGAATCTCCATCATGCAGAACATGTTAATGTTTTTGGGCTATTATAGCAAGCGTCATGAGCGTCCTAATAAAACTGGGCGAACCGCGTTTGTGAAATCTTCGTGAAACTTCTGCTCTGAAAACCTTTGAGCACGCTTCCGTGCTGCTGCCGCCATTTCTCGCCTCTCTGGCTCCGGCATCCTCAAGACCTTGAGGATTGCCTCCGCAAATTCTTCCTTCCTGGAGGCCAGAAACCCTGTCTGGCGGCTGTCCTCCTCTAGCACAATATCCATCATTGGTCCTGCAGATTTATGGGCTGCAAAAAATAGGCAATGTTATGAAACGATCAATTTCAGCAGATCAGATCCAAGTGCAGCATTGTTCGGTTCATGGTTCTAGTAATTCATCCTTCCCTTACCTTTGACACCCAAAAATTACAATATGGAGTACATTCAAAGGGGGATTTGTTGTTCACAGCAAAGAAAAATGCAATGTTTTTATAATAGTTGCAATCCGTAACCCAAAACTTCAAACTAAACAGCTATAGTACAAAGCATGCAAAGCAGCCTTTGGAAAGTGAAGTTGAGGACATCAACCAGAGATCAATACAATACTTGCTCAGTTACTCACCAATTGGAATAGCACCAGCAGCCATGTACTCAACGACACTTATTCCAAAATGCTCATCTGTCATTGAATGGAGCCCACAAATTGCACCACCTAGAAGCTGTACCAGGTCTCTGTTTCATGCAATAACATATCTGTTAATTACTCGACAAAGAAAAAGTGGTTTCTAACTCTAGTTTTGAAAGCAAGACCTGTAAGAGATATCCTGGTGGAACTCTACAAGCTCATCTATGTGAAGCTCCACAGATCTGTCCTTGAGCTTTTGTAATCTTTCCAGATCCTCTTTATTCCGGCAACTGCCAGCAAATTGAAGTTTTGGCTTGAGACAGTCTGAATCTAGCCTTTCAAGAGCAAGTGCAAATGCCTCCAACTGAAGACCATGGGCCTGAGGAGAGCAGAGAGCAAAAGGGTAGAGGTACTTTAGTGAGTGAACTGTAAGATCTTGTAACAGATTTTGTTGCAATAGTAAGTTGACATACCTTCTCAGGACGGAACTGTGCAACTGATATAAAAATAGGAGGTGTTGTTGATCTTTCCAGGGGGAGCATCTGTTTTATTCATCAAATGTTTATTGTGAGTACAAACCAAATCTTTTTGTGTAATTAGATTTTAGCCTAACAACAAGAACACAGAAGTATTTTTAGTCGATGACTTGCATTCATAACGTGTCCACATGATCACAGCACATAATTGATCGTGACTGATGGGAATCTGGACATACCTGCAGGGCAGAAGTATCACATGGAGGGTATACCCGCTTCATACGCTCTGGGACTTCCCAAATATTCACAATATGGGATCTTGTCCATGAGGAATTCACCATCACAAGATGTGCACAGGAACCAACTAAACCATACAACCAACTGAATATGGTGTAGTACAGAACTTTACATCGAGACAACCAAATGCTACAGCCAAAAGAACATCCAGTTAGTACAGAACTTTGCATCGAGATAACCAAATACTACAGCCAAAAGAACATCCAATTAGTACAGAACTTTGCGTCGAGATAACCAAATGCTACAGCCAAAAGAACATCCAATTAGTTTTGCATGGTTGATATCATTGATACATGCTATTGAAAATATAAAGAATATTATTCTTTTGTCGATGCACAATCCTGTTAATTCAGACTATATCATAAGAGGAAAGAAACATATGTCAAGAACACTAACCATACTATAGATTGGGCCAAGAGAACATGCATGTTTAAGTAACACGTTTTTGGACATTCTTTTGATCATGCACAGTAAGATTTTAAACTCCCAGATACAATAATGCACCACTGTTTAACGATACTCAAAAGAATTGAATCTAAAATTGTTCCCATACCTTCCAGAGATAAGAGAGTTGTTATTGTACATTGAGTTGCGCTGCTTAACACGTTCGACCATATCAGAACTGATCGTGGGATAATGAGTGTAGGAGAGGACCTTGCAACCAAACAGCCAAGCCAGTGGATAAGTGAAAGCATAGCCACTTGTATCAAAGTAGAACTGCGGAGTGAATTTGTTAAGAGCCTCCCATGCGAGATATACTGAGCCAAGACTTTGCCCTATCATTGTGAAGCGCGGATATGTGCTTGCTTCGATCCACTTTCTCTTGTTCAAATGAACAACCTGAAAATGCAGTTCAAACATTTTTATGTTCGTGCCAGTACATCACATTTGCTTTGATTAAGTTCCAATTGAATGTACTTGCAGTAGTATGTCATTAAGTTAAGGAGTACTCAGTACAACACTAGCCTGCATTTTTCTCAGTTCACAGAAGTAAAGTGCAGTTGTCAAAATAAAAATCAGAACGGCGAGAGGATCCATCACAGAACTAAAGCGAGCTAAATTTGCAAGAAGCCAAGAAGCTGCGACTAGGACCGTCTCTCGAGATCCAATTTCTACTACGATAGAAACCGCGCTCGATGGGGTATTGGGGTCGTGCCGTACCTGCGGCGGGCGGAGGAGGCGGACCCCGAAGCGATCGAGCGCGCGGGCGGCGAGCCCATCGGGGGACGCGTCCGCGTCGCCGGTGAAGACGGCGCAGGGGAGGTCGGGGCAAAGGTCCTGGACGGCGCGCACGGCGCACCAGAGCACGCGCTCCCCGCCACCGCCGTCGTTGGTGTACGGGTGGAAGAACCCCGCCGCGGCCGCTGGGTCGGGCGCGCGGCGGCGCAAGAGGCGCAGGAGGCGCCGGAGGGCGAGGGCGAGGAGGGTGGAGACGAAGGTGAGAAGGCCAGCAAAGATCGCCATGGATGCGACGCCGAAGTCTGGGTCGGACTTCGAGAACAGTACGGGCTGCAGTAGTCTATGGTAGCTGCATTGCATAGCCTTCACGGCTCAGCCTGACTATGCAAATGCAGCCTCAAATACACCAGCTGCAAGTTGTTTAATTGCCTGCATGTCTTTTCGTTTACATAGGCTGAACCACACTGCCTGGTGTTTGGTTACCTGTATGTTAGTGGACAAACCTAGACATGGTATTTGGTTGTATGCAATGCCTGATGTGTGGTAACCTCTTTGGCTAGTTGGTGAGGTTACCAGCACACTTTGGCACAACCATGTACCACACATCATAAGCAGAGTAGAGTATAAACAGAGCATCAACTACTTAACAACATGATTCAGATAACATAACGATAGTACCAGACATCATAATGATAGTTTAAATAGTTCAGCGCATAAACCATAAAGCAGACTCGATGTACTTAGGAAGGAGGTGCCCCGACCCTAGTCCCTGGCGGCGAAGGCTTCGTCGTGCTTCCCGCACTTGTTGACCACCTCAATGCCATCGTCGTCGAAGATGATGACCTTGAGGGTGTCAGGAGTCAGGAGCTTGAACGCCACCATGTAGCCGATCTTGATCTGATGAACGGCGGCGTAGGTGGCCCAACCCTGATCCAGGGCCATCCTGCCGTTCATCAGCTTCACTGTCACCCTCCAGGAGCAGCCGATGTTGTTCCTCAGCTTGAACTCCATCGACATCGCGACGAAGTGCTTGGTGAAGTCCAGGGGCATGGGAATGCACTCAAGCTTCGGTGCAAGGATGACCTTGCAGAAGTGAGTTGGGCACCCTCCTCATGA